ACAGACTCCCCCTCTTCGAGGACCTTGTCCCCAAGGGCCCCAAATTTGTTGCAGAAATCCCCAATGTTCTCCCAAGTCGCCTCCTCGTCACTCATACCAGACCATTTCACCAAAATTTTTGTGGTAGCTCCCCATCCTTGTTTCTTAAGTCTTCGATCTAGTATCTTTTCTGGTTCTGGGAAGAGAGAACCATCCACGTTGACTGGTGGGAGCTTCGGCTGCAGGGTAGAAGAGGAACCCAGTTTTTTCTTCAGGGAAGAAACATGGAAAACAAGGTGGATCTTTGATTCTGGTGGTAGTCTCAAGCGATAGCAACCTTTCCAACTTTTTCTTCAATCATGAAGGGTCCATAGTAGCAGGGAGCAAGTTTCTGGTTCCTCCGGGCAGCAACTGAGAGTTGACGATATGGTTTTAATCGTAGATAAACCCAATCGCCAATGGTAAATTCCCTCTCCGTCTGATTTAAATCTGCAAATTTTTTCATCCTTTCCTGTGCTTCCCGTAGGTTGTCCTTCAAGATTTTGAGAGTGGCTTCCCTGTCCTTCAACACATCTTCAATGGCTTGAACTTTAGTTGTTCCTGGGGTGTATTGAAGTAGACGAGGAGGCTGATAGCCGTAGACAGCTTCAAATGGTGTTGTTTTGGTTGAGGCATGCTCATTGGTATTATACCAATATTCAGCAAGAGAAAGCCATTTGCTCCAAGCTTTGGGTTTGTCCCCAGAGAATCTGCGAAGGTACCCCTCTAGGCATTGATTGACTATCTCTGTCTGGCCATCCGTTTGTGGATGGTAGGTAGTGCTAGTGTTGAGTTGAGTCTGTTGTAACCGGAAGAGCTCTTTCCAAAAATGAGAGATAAAAATGGGATCTCGATCATTTACAATAGATTTAGGGATGCCATGTAATCTGAAGATGTTGTCAAGAAATAGTCCAGCAATAGTAGTGGCAGTGTAGGGATGGCTGAGTGCAATAAAGTGAGCGTACTTAGTCAAACGGTCGACCACCACCATGATGACATTTTTGTTATGGGATTGAGGCAAACCTTCAATGAAATCCATGCTAATGTCAGTCCATGGTCTTTCGGGAATGGGTAGAGGTTGGAGCAGTCTTGCGGGGTGGCTGTGTTCACTTTTGCTTTGCTGGCATATCTCACATTCTCGTACATGATGCCTGACTACAACCTTTAATCCAGGCCAGTAAAAATTCTTTCTGACCCGAGCTAAGGTTTTGTGATAACCTGAATGTCCTGCTAACGGGTGATTGTGCATCTCTTGCAGGCCCAACTGCTGAAGCTCTTGACTAGTGCCTAGATGGATTCTGCCTTTGTAGAGTACTATGCCTTGCCATAGTTGGAACTTATGATCTGAGAGGGTGCCATCCTGGAGCTGCCCAAGAAGTATCCAAGGCGTTTCCAACTGTGTGAGAGTTACTACATTGATTGTATGCTCCACATTCCCCACCCTGGACAAGGCATCTGCAACTTTGTTCTCACACCCAGCTTTGTATTCAACTGTAAACTCATAGCCTATCAGCTTTGAGATCCATTTCTGTTGTGTTGGGGTACCAATTCTCTGCTCGACCAAATATTTAAGGGCCTGTTGGACTGTGCGAATCTTAAACTTCTGCCCCAATAAATAGGCCCTCCATTTTTTTACTACGATGAAAAGAGCAAGGAGCTCCTTTTCATAAGTAGATAAATGTAGGTTCCTTCCCTTGAGTCCCTGACTTAGATATGCCAAAGGCCTTCCTTCTTGCATTAGTACCGCTCCAATTCCATCTCCTAACGAATCACATTCAATAATGAATGTTTTTGAGAAATTTGGGAGTCCCAAAACCGGGGGAGTAGTCATAACCTTTTTGAGTTGGTAGAAGGCATCCGTGGCCTTTAGATTTCATTGAAAGGCATCCTTCCGAAGTAGTGCAGTAAAGAGGGCTGCTATGCTCCCATAATTTTTAATGAATTTGCGGTAGTAACCTGTAAGGCCCAAAAAACCTCTTAGAGCCTTAAGTGAAGTAGGTAAAGGCCACTGCAAAATACTAGAAATCTTGTTGGGATCTGCTTGGACCCTACTCGAGGAGATGATGTGTCCCAAGTACTCTATTTCTGAACATTCAAACCTGCATTTTGACATCTTTGCATACAATTGGTGCTGTTGGAGTAGCATCAATACAGTTGTCAGGTGTAAAATATGGTCATCCCAGCACTTACTAAAGATTAAAATATCATCAAAAAATACAAGAACGAATTTTCGTAAATATGGACGAAAAATATCATTCATAAGCCCTTGGAAGGTGGACGGGGCATTAGTAAGGCCAAAAGGCATGACTAAAAATTCATAGTGGCCTTAGTGGGTTTGGAAGGCTGTTTTTGGGATATCATGAGGCTCTACACGAATTTGATGGTGGGGCTATCCGTGGGTCGGTTCGATTCGGTTCTGAAGAGACCCGAACCGACCCAAAACTTTCGGGTATTTAATAAATGGACCCGTCGGGTTCAAATATAATTATGGAACCGTTCGGGTTCGGTTCCGTTCGGGTCGGTTCGGTTCCATACTATAATCAAAATTTTTAATATTTACAGTAACACTATATAAATACAACTAATGACATTTCATTCGTAATTTTTACAAATTAACGTAGTCTAATTCAGAAATAAATAAATAACTAGCCGTCCAATAAGATTAATTCAGTGCATACAAATACCAAAAAATAGATATTAATATTACAGTAAAACTACATAAAGTATATTCATTTGTTTCAAATTAAAATGGGCTAATGGGTTTTAAAAATGATTTGGTCTTTAAAATAAAAATTATTAAATAATCTAATTTATTTAATTAATTTGCTAATTTGTATAGAAAAAAATAAAATAATTTAATTAATTCAA